GAACCCACGCTTCCCCGCTCATTGTGGCATGAGCACTCTAACACCCGTGCGCGCTGCCATGCATGCGTCCCGACGCGCCTCCCGACGATCATCGCTCAAATCAGTCCAAACCTGAGCTCGAGTTCGATTGCTCGGCCAGCAGGTTTAGTCTCTGCCCGAGTCGCGCAGCTCGGTGCCCCGACCAGTGACTCGCCAGTCCAAACCTGAGCCCGAGTCCAACTGATCGGCTAACAGGTTCAGTCTCTGCCCGAGTCGCGTAGCTCGGTTTCCCAACCAGCGGCTTGCCAATCCAAACCTGAGCCCGAGTCCAATTGCTCGGCCAGTAGGTTAAGTCTTTGCTTGAGTCGCGTAGCTCAGTCCCCCAACCAGCAACTCGCCAGTCCAATCCTGGGCCCGAATCCAGCTACTCGGCCAGCAGGTTCAGTCTCTACCCGAGTTGCGCAGCTTGATCCTCCGACCAGCAACTCGATAGTCCAAACCTGAGCCCGAGTCCGATTGCTCGGCCAGCAGGTTCAGTCTTTGCCCGAGTCGCGCGGCTCGGTCCTCCGACCAACGACTCGCCAGTCCCAACCTGAGCCCGAGTCTAGTTTCTTGGCCAGCAGGTACAGTCTCTGCCCAAGTCGCGTAGTTCGGTCCCCCGATCGGCCCCATGACGAATCAACCCGACTACCCCTCACAAGTAATCGATCCACACGCAGCACTCCTACAAACCAGTCGTGCCTCTCGGCCTCTAGCAAGGACCCCGTGGCACGCCTCAATGGGGGGAGAAGTGATAAGGCATATTTTGGACCTCAGCCACATCACAACCCGCACCACATCACACCCCTACCAAGTCAGCACGAGGGGTACTTCCCCGTGCCGACCCGAAACCCGTACCAGAGGCGCCCCTCGGCAAGTCCTGTCCCGAAAAGCTCAGGGCGGCGGCTGCACGAAGGTACTATCCCGCTACTTAGGGATCGGTCGTCGTGCCAAATCCGTGTACGACCGATCTTCGAGTTATAGTATAAAAACCCCTGACAGGCATCTGATCAGGGAGAGAGAGAAAACCAACTACTAACTTAACCTCCGAGAGGCCAAAGTCGAGAACCCCCCCGACGAGGGCCTTCTGTGCAGGAGCTCGGCCGTCCTACAACTGCGACCGAGAGACACCCCAGCTGGAGACGACATCATTTTATCGACCTCATGATCCGACCAACTTCAGCCCCCCGCCGAGGGACACCTTCTCAGAAGACGAAGCCGACGGCTCGACCCAACTAGCTCAGATATTCCTCGTGACAAACGAGAGCTTTGGACATTGATGCGTAGACCAAGTCGTGCTGACTCCTCGGACACGGCACATTAGTTCATCAACAATGTGCTTTTATCTTGTTGTGTTCGAGACAGACGAGGAGGGTCAACATCTTTCAGAACTGGTGGGGTTGGATTTGCCATTCGATGGGAACTCGGTTCCTGCATAATGTAGGTGTGTCGGATGTGTCGCTGGTCACTTCCTCCGTCCGTAGACGGCATCACATTATTGGGTTCCTTTGCTGATGATATATGTGAAACCATGTCGCTTCGTCATCCATAGATTTCAAGAAAACGACCTTCCAACTAAGGATGGACACGGTTCAATTCATACCGAAATTGTATTGGTTGGAAGTCGAAATCGAATTGGATCAATGATTTGATTCCAATTTAGTTCCTAGAAATTAAAATCGAAGTTGGAATCGTCAATCTTGATAGAAATTTTTTTATTTTTTTTTTGTATTGATCAAAACCAGTGGATCGAATTGGAATTAGAATTAAACTGATAATTTCGAGGGATAATTACGTATTATCTTTGTAATTAATTATAATTAAAATTTTATTTTTTATATTTTAAAAAATAATATCAAGATCCTTACATTTATAAAAAAGAGACATTTAATCTCAATTTTTCTCACGTCATTAATTTCAAAAAAAAATCATACTCACATAAAACAACACAAATAAAAAAAGATAAAAAGATAATTTTATTATTTATTAATTTTATATAAACTTCCCGCTTGCAACGTGGAAGCAAAGGAAAAAAGCTGGTTCGATACTGTCATCACAGTTGCCGATGGAGATAGTGATGACGATGTGAGTGATGGCGATGTGAGCTACTGCATTGCGTCGCTCCACTCAACAATAGTCATGGTCGAGCTGATGTGCTAGTCGCGTCCTCCTCGTCCAAGAGCAACTGTTGCTTTAGCAACTCCTGCAATCGATCCTGCATCACGGAGGATGACCTATCGTCGGACCCCAAGCCAACTACCATCTACATAGAAGAACATCTCCTATCGTCTTACCAACCCAGACGTCCACAATTGAACGAAGTTAAGTAGAAGGTGGAGGAAGATGGAAGGAAGCAAAAGAGCAAGAAGCGTCTTTTACTTTACGGATCTAAAGAAGAGCGCATTCTGTAACGTTATCTGCTGCTGCAATCTCTCTCTCTTTCGATAATGGATCGCTTCATATACTTAGGCCTTAATCACCCCTGTAAACCACAATACAACCTAAACTTACTATAGTTGAGTTCAAGAAACTTATCCGCTCTCATCTCTGAGTCTGAAGTCACACTTGAATACAGTCAAAAGCCTAAATGTACTGAAGTCTATCCTCCATAAATAGTCATCGGCATGAGTTATGTCACTTCAATCAATCTTCACTGTTCATATGGGAGCAGCATTTCTTCAGCTTTTCCCTCTCGAGGATATGATTTGACCCAACCATTGGTCATGCAATGAACTCCAACCACAAGCAACCAGAAATAGTACGTGGAGGAGGAGACACATCCTGCTTTACTGCTGCTGGCTTGCAGAAGAACTTGTATGCATGCAGATGATTTCTTCAGGATATGAGAAATCTTTCAGTGCACTCTCTGATATTGGAAACAAACATAAACTATGGGCCTTAGATGGCTTAAAATTGACATGGTGGGATATTGAGTTCTATAAATATATTTAAAATTATTATAAATATATTTGAAAATATTATAACTAAAGAATTGAATTGATACAGCTATGAATTGTGGTGAAATTGCTCAGTTATATTATGAGAAATAGAGAATAATTCAAAAGAACATAAAAAAGAGTAAATGCAATTCCTCCTTCACATACTGTCACTGCCAACGAGCACATCAATCACACTCAAAGCTGGATTGGAGGACCAAAGTAGTCAACAAGGACGAGTGCATGATCACATCAACCACAGTGAAAGCTTAGGTAGAGGACAAAATGTTCCGAAGAGCACTTTTCGTCATCACTGACTCCTAAAATGATACACACAATAATTGAAATCACGTTTTACCCGAAAATTTATATCAATATTTCCTTTCAAATATATGATTATTCATTTTAATCTGATATAAATACAATTTCAATCAATAACACATGTCGTCTGTTTGGAAAGATTTCGATTTCGGTTTCAATTCCAATCATCCATTTGTTTTATTTTTAATTAAAAATAAAATAAAATTCATAATTTTAATTTCAAGCTTTGAAAAATAAATATATTTCGAAAGGAATAATCGATTCAAAGACTTCAAAACCATAATTGAACCACCCAAGATTGATGGCTTCTTTCGATTCAATTTAAAACCGACGAATTCGATTTTGATTCAAATCGAACCGCGATAAAATATACCAAAGTGAAAGGTAAAAGAGTTACCAGGAAAGAATTGTGTTTAGTTGTTGAGGCATAACAAGGTTAGAGATGGAAGAAACTTCTCATGTGCTCATTGATTCCCTCAGGCACAATTTAGATCAGCATCCTATGCAAACTGAAAAGGTAGAGATGGATCATAAGAAAATGCCAGAAAAATGAAACTGCAGAGCATAGCAGCAATCCAGGTTGACCACAATAATAATGCAACTGTTTTTGAAGGCTCACATTGCATAGTTCAACCTGTATGACAAAGCTGTGCCATTCATGGTCATGGCAACATCATCCACCCAATGAAATGATAAAACAGAGAGAGAACAATCTTGTGCCAAAACAATAGATCAACAAATACTCCAAAAGTTAATGGACTTGGTTATTGGATTAGGTTATTTCAGATCTTATGCTATCTAAACCATTTGGAGCCCTGAGGGAAGCAATTTGTAACTATGGGAGAAGAAACAAGCATAAATGAAGGGTAAAATAGTGCAAACCATAGTAGTAAAGCTCAAACTTCCAACAATCCTGACCTCCTCCTATGTAGGTGGCAGGAGTCATATACCATGCAATATAAGACTCAAGCATTAAAATCTATAATGTGACTCGAAAATTTTAGAGGAAGAAAAAAAATCAGGAAAATGCTATCTTTTGTTGTGGTATAAAGTCACTGCCTCTTAATTCGAGATGCAACGGCAGAGTCTATCCTTTCTTTTCAGGTACTCAGGGCAGTTGTTTTACAGATGGGACATAAATTCTTTATCATCAACCATTGTTTGATGCAAGCAGTGTGGAAGTCATGGCCACAATCGAGTCGGCCCAACTCTGCCCCTTCCATGTATTCTTCCTGCCACAGGACACAAAACTGTTTCTGAGTTCAACCGTTAAGGAAAAGCCTAAGGGCCTGAAGTGGACTCACCCGACAGATGCAGCATGGTTCAACTTCCCCCGATGGTTCTGATGCGATAGATACATACTTCCGTTGTCGTAGGCAGTTCAGGATTTTTTCCTCGCTGAGCCCAGTGTTGACATATCCTATACGCTCTCCCAACACTAACAGTTCCTGCAAGAACAAAATTGTTTTATTTATAGTTCAAAGTTTCTTCCTCAAACAAAAGCACAACAAAAGATTATTACCTCATAAGACATATTATCCACATCCAGCCGCATATCTCTATACCTGTCATGAAAATTGGTGCCCCCAACATATCCTGACTGCTCAAATGATAAGAAATCCTGGCCAAGAATCATCAGAATAAGTCCAGTCCTATCATTCTGACACTTGGACTCAAGTTTATTGAACCAGCCAGGCAAGGGTACTTACAATCTCAATATCATAGACTCTTTACATCTCTATAGGAATTTACAGGATTACAGCAAAGTATAGTGTTTTGGATTGCGTGTATAAGAATGTAGGACACCCTACAACCAGTTTCACTTTTAAAGTCCGCCAGTAACTAGTTTTCTATTAAAGGATGCTTTACTTCGGTACTCACGTACAAAGGGTTTTACAAAGATAAAGGTCAATAACAAAATCTCCACATTAAATTTTAATCACGACCCAAATGAAACAGAAATCCCTTGGTCAGGTACAACAAAAATTTGAGATCAGAGAAACTTCCAGAACATGATAGAAAGAGGCAACTACACTTCAAAAGGGCATTGCTAAAATTGAACCTTCAGATCAACCAGAATGAGAAGTGACTTACATTAGCAATATTATTACTTTGCGAGAAGTAAAAAAAAGAAACTAACTTCTACAAACGAAAAATAAATCAGACATTGAGAAGCCCTCACTCCATCCCCCCATCCCTCCTAAACTGAAAGATAATGGTTGGAAAATATCTGTTTAGCCTAGTTTTGATGTGCACATTTGTAGTAAATGAGCAAATTTTACGCGCCTAAGATCACTTGCAATTTAGATATTTTTCCCATGTCAACAAGTGAACCTTACCAAATACTAAAAAAGATATGTAGCTATGATAGACATGGGCTAGCTGTTTGATAAATAGCAACCATGCAATTAAATGAGAAAGGAAAACACATGCAATTAAATGAAGTTACAACATGAACATGTCTTTTCTTCTAGAATTTAAAATAAAAGGCCAGACATGGAGGTTTTGGTACAATACAACTACATTACATGTTATGGCGATAGGAAAATAACTGAATGGTAATCCTGGGAGATCAAAATAAATTCTTTAGGCTTCAATATGACTTTAAACAGCCTAGACACATGCCACTCAATCAGACAAAAGCCAAGCTATAAGGAGCATAAAGTCATGCTCACTAATTAACGATACCCATGTAAGATAACTCAATCATGCATGAAAGAATTTATCACCATACGACTAAAAAGGGAAAGAGAAAAAGGTGTAGAAACATAAGCTCGATGCTAAGTAATGAAAGCTAACCTCAAGCACCAAGGTATCCCCCCGACGGATGAGATCAAAAACATTACGAATCTGTTAAGGAGAAAATCATCTCGGTCAACAATATGGAAACTAAAATAATATTCTATCAAACATTTTCTCACTAAAAAAATATGCTAGACAATAACTAGTCAGTAGCAATAGACAATTTCATACGAAATAAAAATTTCACTCTAAAGCTACTAATCTCATGTAGAATTAAGAAAACCAAATAAACTTCCTACAAAACACCTCGTCCTGCTGCAATCTTCCAGAAAAGGTAAGCAGGTAACTTAAATCTTCAGTCCTGCTGCAATTGCCAGTTTTGCAAATGACAACCGGACATCTGAACATATTTCATGAAATTTCTGGTCTCAAGGGAAACATATTTGCATTTTTGTGTAAAATGTGAGAATTTTGTCAATTCTTGGAAAGAAAATGTCTAGAATAGCAGGAATAGCTAAAAGAAAAATATGCTTTCCAGAACCATAGCTTCATTCACAAGTGCACATGTATGTTTCCGCTGCTACAAAAGGAAATAAAATTATGATATCAAAAATTGTGGACTCACTGTGACAAGATTCATTTACTTAAATGTCAACAAAGATTAGCTAACCCACACTCGAAAGTATGGCCATGAGAAAGCAGAGAAAAAAAGATGTCATTGTCTGATACTTTACTTTACTAAAAATTATGTTTTCCTTGTAAAATTTAGCTATCTATGCTTTCCTTCTTGTAAAATTTAGATATCTGATGATTGTATATGGGATTGAGAATATGTCAAATATCAGATCCATTCACAAAAAGACTAGAAATTTGATTGGCAACAGGAAGTTCAAAGAAACACTCGAGCTAATTGGCTACCAAAACCTCAAGATTTCTCATCATAAAATACAAACTTAAACAGTTGGCAGATAGTGTTGACAGTTGGAAACCACATATGAAGGAAAAAGTTTTCAGAATGCTGCTTGACTGGAGAATTTCAAAGACGTTATTAAGATAGTGAAGAGCTCATACCATGTGTAAAAGGGCATCCCAGTTCATGAGGTTTCTGCTAATATAGGTTTTAAAAAGGTTCAATATAAGAAACCTTACCCCTACAAGCAGAGAGGTTGTTTTGATCGTTTGAAACTTTGACACCTAGGTCACAAAGAAGGCATTCAAATGGTATGTTACTAAAGAATAATTTAGGTTGTTTCTATGACTTCAAACCTAGACGCCTAGACCGCAAAGAAGCCACTCAAATAGTATGTTACTAAGGAATTATTCTACTTACACAAACAATGAATTTCCAACTTGCATAACTCATAAAACCTTCATGATAACCATAGAGAGGGGGCATGATATTTGAACAACAGTGTCAAATAATTATTCCAAGACCTTGCATTGGTAAGAACTTCGTACACTGAGCTTGCCCTTTTAGGAACAAAATTTTCTTCACCACTAATCCACTATTCCCAAAAGGGAACCTGTATTCATCCAAGTCTCCATGAAAATCTTCATCAGAGTTCAAAGCGATGATTGAAATACTACTGAGTCTTGTCTGTTCATCCAAAATTTCAGAAAATCACCATGCATATCCAGGTCTCAACTTGCTCTGATGCTACCAGGCTCCACCCACTTATTCCAGTCAGAAACAATATATTTTTGTGCTGTTAGGTAGTGCCAGCCCTGTCAGCTGATTCAGATCATTCCAGCATGGTCAGCACCTACCAGATATGCCTTATCTTGTTACTAATATCATGTCAGGAAGTTCTTTTAGCTTGATATGGCTTCATTTCTAAACTTCAATTTGGTTGTTACCTGCACACAGCCCCGAGCATGATATCATTAGATCATGATCCCATACAAGCCTATCCCATTTTTTAAATATCTTTGTGAACTAGTCAGTCCTAAGCTTTTGTCCTAACTCTTTGATGCTCAAAGCACCACATGGCAACCAGATCACAACACCCATCATCTGATGAGCCTGGAGACAAGCAAGTGGGATTCTCAAGGTATCTGTTTGTCTCCTCGGTATAAAAAATTGGTTTGATGTTTTCTTTCCTTCCCTAGCGCCAGCATACCATTTAGTGCTGCAGGCATACAATTTCCAGTTAGTCCTTGTTTCCTTATATCCATGAAATGCAGTCCATACTGGTCAAAATGTTCATCAAATGCACAAAAATACAAATTGGAAAGCTTTAAGAGATCGACCATGAAGGTTCTTATAATATGTTCTTAGGTCATGCAATAGTCTCATGAAGGTACCAAGTTCAAGCTAAACCTTAAAAAAGTTTGATTATCAAATGTCAAATGCCGGACAGCACATGTTTTGCTACCAAAAGAAGTAATTCCTGAAAAGGCAAAAAGATATTGAACAAAATCCTCAAATCACTTTCTTTATAGATGGAGCCATCATTGCATACCTCTGACGTCCTGCTTCTGCGTTCTCTTGCAGCTGCTAGAGTCCGCATGGACAAGGGATTGCTCAAAGCACCATCATTTTGCCTGTGCAACATATTTGGGAATCTCATGTATAGTTGCTGATGATTACGTGGACCAGCTCCAGGTTGATGACGTCCAACCTCCTGTGATGTGGAAGAATGGCCATTACGTGGAGGAAGGCTCATGTTCCAACCTCTAGATTCAGAAACTGATGATAAAAAAGACCCAAGTATAGTTTCTGATAAGCGCCGATGTTGGTGGTGAGGGACCCAGTTTGCACCTGGTGATTGATAAACACCTGAGTTGGTGCCAACTTGTGATGTAGGCACTCCATTTCCTGATAACGTTGTGTTGCCAATGGTCAAGCCCCGGTTTGTCTGGTTTTGCACCAATTGCCTGGTGTTAGGTGGGGGAATAAACAATTGTTCTACTAGATTACTTGAAACACTCATTGAGTTTAGCTCCCTAGATGCTCCATCAACTGAAATTGCTGGAGAACTTGAAGAACTGTTTGCTTCTCTAGTGGAAGTTCCACTCTGTGGGAAAGGGTACAGATCTGGAGACAATCCAGGAATTGTTTGTACAAGAGGCTGCCTACGTGGCCCCATATGGCTACCGACTAACCTAGAATTTGATGGCTGATTTGATGGGATTGTCAGAGATGGCTGTTGAGCAGGCCAAAGATTATACTGAGTAATGTAATTCTCTTGGTGCAATGGGTTAGGTATGGTAGCATTAGTTAGATCTGCATGGTTCACTCTAGTGCGAATATTCCTTTGGAAGCTTTCATCATTTACTGCTGCACTACCAAAGTACTGGTGTTCAGAAGCCGCAACCCTAGTGCTTGTGCCAATTCCAGCATTTATTTCTTCTTCCGCATGTTTCACACCTGATAAGTACATAGATAGGACAGATGCTTTTTGAAGTAGATATAGGAAAATGAAGAGGAACAATGGGCAACAAATTAGTCTCACCTTCATTAAAGTTACTAGAGCTTCCGCTAGCTGAAGACTCCCCATGAAATCGTTCAATGTTCTTTCTCTTGTGTGAAAAGCTTTGATCATCCAGTGCAACTCGTTGTCTGTTTCTATCATTGTTGGATAAGAAATCAATAGCTCTGGAAGAACTCTCAAATGTACCTGAAGAGCTTCCAGAGAAGGAAACAGGTTGATATTGCATTAAACCTGGATTATACGGTTCTTGATGTTGCCCTGATTCAAGAACCTGGCTACTCATTCCAACATGAGCTGAACCGTAGTCCAAGTTATGAGGGAGCTCACGAAAGTTGAGAAATTGTGAAAATGGTTCTCCATTGTTGGCATGATTACCGTTAAGTTCAGCATCCGTGTTCTGAAAAGAAAGAGTATGGCTACCTTCAGATCTACCGTCTGATATCCTTGGCCCACTGTCTCGATTACTTAGAGAAAAGGTCCAACCACATTCCTGTTTTATTTCATCATTACTGCCTTGGTCTAATGAGGGCATGCTAGAGCTTGTCCCAACTGGATCCCAGATATTCAGGCTGGCACTCCCTTGACAAACTACATTTCCACGGGATATGTTAGTACCACTAGGTGATAGTGGATTGCTGGGTAAATCATGGTTCTCTACTGAATTAAAAAGAAGGTTGTTCCAAAACATTTGCTGATCCATGACTGAGCTACTTGAACCAGATGCTCGATCATATTCAAAAGCCTCACAAAAGGGCTGAAAACTACTCCTTTGCCCCTGCATCAGGGATTGTATGTCCTCTGCTTGCAACCCTTGCAAGATGTATTCAAGTGTAGCTCACCAGTCACTACAGAATCATTATCAGCAACTCAGCTACTGTTTGAATACTGCATAGTTAATAATCAGATAATAAAAAATTATATGCAATAAATGCAACAAATTTTATAATCATAACATGTATAATTTATAGGCTACATGAGGAAAAGCACGAATAAAGCAAAAAACTTGTGATTTCTCATAGTGGAACATGATCATTCAATAAAATATTTTCCTAGGGATTTCACAGCAATGTTGAAATCAGCCAAGAGACTGAATTGATTCACAGCTTCATAGGCCTTTAAATAAAAAGGCTTACTCTCTCCTTATAATGGGTCTCTGTTGATGACTACTTTGCAATCGGCACAGATTCAAGGTTATTTACAAATGAACTGAAAAGTAAAACGAAAGGCTTTGTTCTTATCCTATTAGTAATCATGTGTACATATTCCTTTCCTAATTCTTCATTCGATGAACATAACTAGCATAATCAATCAATAAATCAACAGCAATATAATTGACGTAACTTGTACTACCAAGAATTTGCAATTGTCGAGACATACTTCAAGAGTCAGCATTTGGGCTTTCCAAATCCGACATACTGGAGTTGGAAACAGGACTCGATTGAACCAGAATGGATCAAAACCACAACATATGTATGCAAATAAGCATTTATTTGATTCATGTAAACCATACACCTTGGTTACATGTGCTGCATATCTGAGAGGAATCTGAATTTCACCAAAGAATTTATAAAACAGGTCAATAGATATTGAAATCACAAGTTCCTAAGAGTAAATATACTTGAAGACTGAAACTTCTGCTCAGGTTTTGGCCCGTCAACAACCAATAAAACTTGCATGAGCTATTATCTAATGTACTTTATCTAGGTACATTCTCAATTCATAAATTGAAACCAAGCTTCTATACGTTCTATGGAAGTTTCATTGTTCTTGGCTCCCGTTGATAATGAATTCAAAGACCATACTCATGCCAGATATCAATCGATTTCAAGCTTCATCATTATTCAAAAGCATGAAAAAGCGGAACCATTTAACTTCATTCTTCTGATAAGCAATGATCAGAAGTCCATGGACCAATGTCACATGACCAATTCAACCAGCAAAATTTTATCCCTGAAATCATTTACTAAATGAAAGCAGATGAAAACCAGTTACAAGAAAGAAATAGTAGATGAAAGATCTTAGTTTTAATCCTAGCATAGATGAAAACTTGTTGAAGCAACAGTTTATCAAACATGCAATCAAAATGGTCACGGTTTTAATTTCCGTAATTAGTCTGGGACAATTCAAGGTTCCATAAGAAGAGACAGGATCTAATCACCCTACAAAAGGGAAATAACACAAACATCAAACAAACAATAGCAGCTAAGACGCAGATCGGTAGACCTCCAAAAAGGAGGAAACCAGAACGAATCCGAGACCAATTACCACGCCATGGAACCCCAAAACCCAGCACAAAAACCGTTCCTTTTCCCATAAAGAAGCCACAAGATCGATACTAAAATCTCAATAAAAATCCTACTTTTACATAGGATTCCGGAGGATCGGGTCCTAAAGGTCTCACCTTTGAAGCAAAAAACGATCCAGAAATCTCAAAGATCGACCAGCAAGAAGCCTCCTTCGCGCCTTCCCTACAATCTCCACCGTTCTGCCGTCAATAACAACATATAAACAGCCACACGGTCATCGAGGCAAAGGGATGCCTCCGATGGTTCAAGAGAGGTGAGAAGAGGAGGAATCGGCTGAAGTAGGTGGGGATTGTAAAGGAAATGAGGGAGAAGGAAAGAGAGCAAGAGAAACCAAGGGAAATGAGATGGCTTTCTCCCTCTTCCTGCTTCTTTTTACCCTTCTTTGTGATGATGCTTTGAACCTCCCCCGCTACTAATATTCCAGAGTTGAAATAGAGAGGGAGGGTGGCAGGAGAAGGTGATGAAAGACTGTGATGTGTGCCAAGGTGAAGGCTTATCTTTGGCCTACACATACTCCTTGTGCACCTCAATGCTCAACACCTCACCCCTCTGTCTTCACCTTCTTTTTCTTCTTTTCTTTCTTTGTTGCTTTACCTTTTTTTTTTTCCTTCCTTTTATTCAAGGGGTGAATCTGATCCCAAATACATGTTGTTCTAATCCATTTTGTAAATTATATTGTCATTTTATTTTCATATTTCTATCTATATAAATATCCATCTCAAACTCAATTATCAGATATTCTACTTCTTCTTTTAGCAAATCACATGAATATATATATATATATATATATATATATATATATATATATATATGATGTATCTAACTTATTACCATATTTAATCTTCTTAAATTTACATATAATTATTGTTTTTTTGTGAATATAACTAAGTAGCTCATCAACAGGGAGAGAGCTCAAAGAGGTAGTTTCTTGCAAGGAGAGACTTCCTTAATAATTATATTCCATTTTTGTACTCTAATTTATATAAGTCATTTTATTTAAATTAAAAGAGATTATCTTTTCGAGAATAAGTAATGAAGAGTAAGTAATAAAAAAAGCCTTTATATTAATTATTTAAAAAGTATAAACAAATTTTCTATGAAGAATAAATGAATTATTTAATCATGATATGATGTGACCAAAAAAATATCATCATTTTAACTTAGACATGTTTGTTCCTAAGACCAATTGTTGATATTTCAATCATGCCCAATTATTTCATATTTCAAATCCAAAGACAATATTAATCCCAACCAAACTCCAGTCCAAAAACTAAACCAAATTGTAGGCAACTCCAACCCAACTCACATCATATCAATTCTTGGTCAAATATGGCATGCTTGGCAAAGCATATGATCTTAGATGGTGTCATGGATTCGTTTATTTCTTTCTTTTCCATTTCCCACCATGGATTTATTGTTTCATGTTGACCAATTTTTCCATTTCCACTCATGCTAAATATTCTCTTCAAATAAATTATTTTGATTTGAGGGTAACATGTCACCTCATCTCATCATCATTCAAGCCTACCTTTGTCCATTAACATCATTCATTTCCTATTCTTCCAAGTTGACTTGGAGGTAGCGTTGTTCTCTCTTGCCACATGAGACCTCACTGAAAGCAAAAGGTTGAGAGATACACCATGAGAGCCTCATCGAATTCCCACTTTAAATCTTATTATCCCAAGCCATACCCACTTTGTGATGTCGTTAGGTGAAACATAATCAATGCCTTGGAGCAAATGAAGATTGCATTTAAGGATCGACTTTAAATGCTTCTTGCAACATTACTAATGTTTTATTTTTAATATATGTATATATATATATATATATATATATATATATATATATATATATATATATAT